CCCCATCCAACCCTCCCTGTCCCGACCACGCCCTGCTGCCCAATCCAATTCTTCCTGTCATTCCTGACTGTCCCCCGGGACCTCTGCCTCATCCAACCACCCCTTCTCCCTGTCCCCTGACCGCCCCCCGCCGCCCCATCTGCGGGGCTGCGGGGGAGGGGGCGGGAGCCAGCCTCCCAGGCCAGGAGCTCAGGGGCCAGGCAGGAGGGTCCCTTGGGCCGGATGTGGCCCACGGGCCATAGTTTGCCCACCTCTGTTCTGGGGGGGGGTATAATAGAGCTGATCAAAAAGGGGGGAGCCCTTCCTTTGAAAATTTTTGAGGTTTTGCAAAATGTTAAAACAGAGAAAATGTTTGCAGAAATGGATTTTAAAAGAAAAATTCCATTTTGGGGAGCCTAAATGGATTTTTTTTGCTTCTTGGCCTCCCTAAGGGAATGTTCTTATTGATTTCACTGACACTGAGAAGAGCCTTCCAGCCCCACTGCCAAAGAGGCAGAGAGCCTGGCTATTCTGTCTTCCCACTAGCCACCCAACCTCTGGGAGCCAGAGAAAAAGTGATGTTCCCTGGAGCTATAGAGGTAGGGAGTCCGAATACCCTTCTCTGTCTCTGGAGCTAGGTGAGAAAGTGGTGTTTGACAAAAACTTCATTGAATCTGTACTAGATTTAGCAAATCATTTTGTTCTATGAATCAGTATTTTCTAATGAAACATAGTTTGGAAAATTTTCAATCACTTCTAATATATAGTCTAAATTGTATAAATCTAATAGGCTTTTTTTAGTAGCTGTGAATTCTAGCTTCTGTTCACCCTTCTAGCTCTTTCTACACCTTTAACAACAGTGAATACTGATTCCCATACTTTTAAAGTATGTAGCAGTCATATCTGATACTTAGATTCTGCATCTTACTTACCATTTTTGTGAGCTTTTCTAATCTGAGATAATGAGAAAAAACATTGTTTTCTTTCATATCAATATATCTCACTCAATCTATTTATAAAGAATGTTTTTTAAAACTACAATATAGTTGTATGTCTTCTCTGTAGGACTAAACAAACACAAAGTTGAGAGAACATTCCTGCCCCCAAGATCTTATAATCTAGTGTAAAGCCTGATGGTAAATTAGTGATGTGGGAGCTGAAACTGGGACTGGCCCAAATATTTGTTTGATGGGAACAACTTTTAATCCTTGCTGAGCTGAACAAGATTCAGACTGGTGATCTACAGTTGAAAGGCTCCGTACCTCATTAACAGTGCCCCAACGCATCCATTCTTCATAATCACTAACATTACACCACTTGAGAATGAAGCTTGCTTTCTGGAAAGATATATTTATTGTTTTGTTTGTTTGTTTGAATTTACACAGGCAAAGTCTTCCACTCAGCACATGGGCAAAATCTCCCACATGTTGCTCTCAGTCTCAAAAAAACTGTCTGCTGCACCCTTTACTTAAGAGGTGTCTCCCATTAACCAAAATATAAACACTAAAAATGCAACATCCAAATTCACTTGTAAATATCCTTTGCAATATAATTATACTGTACAATAAAACAATTGTAATTCTCTATAATTACTCCAGTGTCCTTTACACTAACTTGTACACATATATGTATCTATTTTTTCACCTCCTCCTGGGTCATTAGAAGGATTTAAATCTACAAGTTTCAGATCCCCCGCACAGACCTTCAGCTGTAGGAGAGGTGGTATAACGGGTGAGAGGCAAAGAATGCTACTGTCCTTTATGTGGATCAGCTCATACAGGGAGATGCAACAAACACATTGCCATTGGGTCTCACAAGTATTTGAGACAGAAGTTGCACACTTGCTGTCAGTTTTGTTGGTTTACTACTGTTTCAGAGTAGTCTTGGTGCACAGAGCCATGGTTTATTCCTGTTGGTTACAGAAGTATCTAATTTTATTTTGAAAGATTGTGTGGCAAAGTAGATCAGCCTTGGCTCTTTTATATTAGAGAGCTAGATTCTGTTCCTAGCTCTGGCTGAAGTGATCTTGTGCAAGCTCTGATTTACCTTACTTGTGAAATAGGTGAATGATAGTTACTTCCCACCATTGCAGTATGAGACCTTGGCTCATAATAAGGGTAGTGAAGAACGCAGAAATTCTAGCAGGAGTCTAGAAGAGTTGGGGATTCTAGGCTTCCAGTTTAGTGCAGCTTGCTTATAAGCTAAAGAGCATTATGTTGAGGTGTCTCTCCCCTCTCCCGCCCTGCCAATATCTTGTGACAGCCAGAATTTTTGTATCCTTGCAAGAGTTGGAAATGCTGAATCTTTCCTTCTTGAGAAGCTGTATTATGATGATCACTTTACTACAAACTAGCAACATCAAAATCTCTTCTGAATTGTTTATGTAGAAACACATAATAACTGATTGACTGCAATGCATCCAAATATTTATACATTAATAAGCAATTAATTTTAACTGTAAAATATTTTTAAACATTTACTCCAAAATACACAAGGATGGTTGTGAATCTTAATGTAATTCCTAGAATGTGTTGTATAATGAACGTTAATATAATTTTGAAAATACTAATGAAAAAGTTATTCCTGAATAACTTTGTATTTTGATGCTTTCGTTTTTCCTAGATGCAGAGAGTGATATTGCCCCTGGTCAAGTCAGTTATATTTCTTCAAAGAGCTGCTCTATTGTTGATGACAACTATGGATGCATGGCATCAAACATTCCTGCCCTGGAGTTGATGGCTCTGTATGTAGCAGCTGCCATGCATGATTATGATCATCCAGGTCGTACAAATGCTTTTCTAGTGGCTACAAATGCACCTCAGGTAGGAAATATTTTACTGGAAAGCTAAAATTAAAATTCCAGTTTTCTGATACATAAGAAAAATAATGAACATAGATTTTACTCTATAAATCTGCTACTTTTTGTGTAGGCGTTGTTTGCCACATTTGGTAAGACCATTCTTTTCCCTTAATAGGTGAGCAAGGAAACTGCTTTGGGATTACCTTTATAACATCTTTTAACCTGAGAAATCCCAAAGTGGTGTGTGTGGGTGTGTATAAAATCATTTTCAAGTAACAAATTTTGTAAACAATAAAATAAATAAATGCAACTAAGCGAACAATCTGTTACATATAGGGTTGGCCTTTTGACTTGCCAAGCCTATGATTATGGATATTCCAATTTTTTGAAACTTTCTAATGACAATGGTGCTCTTTGCCATTATTTCAAAACAAAACAGCCTAGTCTAGCCTTTTGTGTTGCATAGATAGCCTTTTAAATGTAAACTGATCAATGAATTTGAAGTGCCAACTGGGGAGATGCTGAAAGGAGAACATAACATGAGAGAGAACAAAGATGCCTTGACTTCTGAGAATGGAGATGAATATGAGAAACTAAGGAAAGGAGATGTTGCTTTTTAAAGAAACTGAAATGCACAATAAAAGGAAAGAGATGAGAGAGAGAGAGAGAGAGAGAGAGAGAAGAAATAAAACAAATAGGAGACAGGAATAATAAAAGGAAAAAATAATATTGTGGAAGAAAAAGGGGATGAAAAAATGGAAGAAAGGAAAAAGCAAGAAACTTTTAAATTAGTTAATTATATTTATTTGTACCTCCCAAATTTTACTTTATTACCCTGGCAAATGTCCTATAGATCTGTTAAGGAGGTGGGATCAGATTGTTATTTTGAGTACTTACTTTGTCCAACAAGAAATTGAAGAAGAACATTTTGTTTTAGAAAGTAGTTTTTGTTCTAAACGTTTGGTTTTTGACAGGTGAATGCATCCAAAAAATTATTCCCTTAATAACAATCAAATATCTCCTTATTTTTAACTGTGTTTCGTGGAGATGAAAGAAACATGTTATACTACTTAGTTTGCTTTTGAACTACAAACAATACGTTATATTTTGATTTATATATGAAGTGATTGTACACTATGCCAATTTTGATTAAGTAACAAATTCTGTTTTCTGTTATCTGTGTCAGTCCAAATGCCAGGGCATAATTTTTCTTGGCCAGCACATAGAGACAATACACTGTGTCTTTTTGCTGATGTCATTGCCTCTTATATTAAGAAACTTGATGTCTCCCAGGCTCAGTTGTTTAAGGCTTGAACAGATCAAGAAAACAGTATTACAGTATTTGCCATCTAATTTAGGGTTACCATATTTTGTGCCTCCAAATGGAGGACACTCCACGGGGCCCCGCCCCCACCCCAAAGTCTCCGCCCCCTCCCCTGCTTCCTGCGAACATTTGATTCGCGGGAAGCCTGAAGCAGGTAAGGGGGAGTGTGGGGGGAGGAGGCGCGGCCC